TATGCATGTATGGGAACAGGGGGTATAGGGGAAATCTATGTACCTTTCCGTCAATTTTGCTATGAGTCTAAAAGTAACTTTTTAAAAAAAAGAGACTAGTTCTGATGTTTACTAGCTGTATGTCTAAGCTCAACTAGCTTAGATAAGCTGACTTATCTAAATACCAGTAAAATAAAACTTCTGATACTTCACAGGGTCTTCTTTATTCTCTAACAGAAAAAAATATACATGATAACACAGTAAAATCTACAGTTTAATGTAATTGGTTATTAGTATAAGGAATTTAAATTAGAAAAAGTAAATCATTTGGAGTGTGCTTAGGACATTTTATTTGCATACCATTTTACAGATTTATTTGTCATTGCTTCTCATTATTAAAGTAAACATCACAATTCACTGTGATAAAAATTCTATTTTTTAAAAGACGTTTAAATCTCTCAAGTCGAGAAAATTCCATATAATTTGGTGTAAAGACTTGTTCAGATTATTTGAATAAATGAGATCAAGGTTAAATAAATAAAATCTACTGTCACTAAAACATTACATGTTTTATGTCCTTACAAATAAGAAGCACTCTGTCAAAGTACAGGGGTCACTAACAAAATGTTCCAGATAGATAACATAGAGAAGTTATGGGGAATGGTGTTTCATATTGCTCTTTTAAAGCTGTATTCTTTCTGCAGAGAGTCGCTTTGCATATTAAACCAGTAAAGATAATCCTTATTGGAAAGGAATCATTTTTTCTCTCATTTTCCTGCTAAAATACCATAAAGCTTTTACTTTCCCATTTTTGATAGAAGCATTAGTGCAAGAAATAGTTCACTTTCTTCTTAACTTTGCAAGAAATGCAATGTGATACAACTGATAGCTTTTTTGCCTGACTTGAGAAACATGAGAAAGAAGTGCGACTATGACAAACTGGAGAATAAATGACCCATCTAAAGAAGACCATGCTCTAGCCAATTGTTGCTATGCAACAAGATTGAGAGCCAGCGTTGGTAGAATGTCTGATTCCATGTGAAGCCGTAAATCCATATTTTATGCAAATTTTTCTAATTTTAAACATGCGTGACTAATTCAAAAATTTGTAAACACTGTGGGTCAAATTAAGCCTTCAGCTTGCTGATTTGCAATCTCTAAAATATATCATGCTCTAGACTCTGATATTTTGAGTCGGAAAAATTCGTGTACTAATCTTGCTTTTGTAACTTACTAAGTAATAAAAACTTGGGCAAGCAGGCTCATTTCACTAATATAAAAAGTTGTTATAATAATTTGTTCATCTGGTTGTTATTTTTCTTACAATTTTGTATAAAAATTTTCAAACACAAATAAGTTTGAAGATTTTTATTTTACCATGAACACTCATAGACTCCCCACATATTTTCTGCTATTAACATGTTACTACACTTGCTCTCCAGGATATCTATCCATCTATCCACTCATCAATCCATCTTACTTTTGGATCAGTTGCAGCCATCAGTATACATCCTTCACTGGAATGCTTTGAGGAATAAATGGAATAATGCACAGAAAGCATCAAGCACAATATCTAGCATGTAGATAAACATAAAAGTTGTGATAGCCCCCTTTCCTCCACCTATGTTTACAATGTGTAGCTTGAATGTCATTGGACCCACTAAGAGTGTGTACTTTATATTGGAAAGAGAGAGATTTCTACAATAAAATTTTCATCAGAATCCCTTTGGCTCCTATCTTAAGATTGTGTTCAGAACCTCAAAATCTGTTCCAGCCAAAATAGAGTATCCCCATTTCTCTCTAATCTTCCCTCTTATTAAAAAAAAGAAAGAAAGAAAGAAAGAAAAAAAAAAAAAGCTTTAGACATAATAAAACAAACAAACATAGGAAGACTCTAAAAGTTGGAAAGAAGAAGACAAACTGGCTCAGAGTCAGTTGACACTGAAATGAGTTCTCTGGATTTTTTTGTTTCCCATCTATTCTGGATGGGGCACTGGATAGTCCTACATCCTGGAATCCCTGACAGACACAGACAGAAAAAAAAAAAAAGCCTCAATAAAAGCCTGCCCCTCCCCACCCACTGTAGCCAAAAGACTGGGAAAAGGATGGGCTAATAGAATGGGAATCTTTTGATAATAGTTGCCCTACTCTAACCAAACATCCAAGGAAGAACTATCCCCTCTCCCTCGCAGTGCCAGTGGACTGTGCGATATCCAAACTTCTGGTCCCACCGAGGATAGAGAGAAAGACAATTATGAGCTGGCTCTGTATTTCCTCCACTGGGTTGATGTTAGGGAGCCAAATAGGAACTGCACTTCCACTCTCATCAGGCAGCAAAGAGATAGAACCAGCTGGTGTGAGAGTGTTTCTGGATGAGATTAACATCTGAATCAGTATACTGTGTAAAGCGGATTGCTCTTCTAATATAGTTGGCCCCATCCAACCCACTAAGGGCCTGAATAGAATAAAGAAGCATAGTCAGAAACAATTCTCTCTCTTTCTGTCTTAGAGCTGGGACATTGGTCATCGCCTAACTTCAGACTCAGACTTGAACTGAAACTTACATCAACTTTCCTGAGTCTCCAGCTTGCCAACTGTAGATCCTGGGACTTCCTAGCATGCATGATTGCATGAGCCAATTCCTTATAATAAAATTACTTCATATCTCAAATTGGTTCTGTTTTTCTGGAAAACCCTGATTAATGCAGTTCTACTAACCACAAGAAACTAAATCCTGCCAAAAATCTGAATGAATGTGGAAGCGGATTTTTCCCCAGAGCTTCCCAATAAAGCTTGGTCTGGCCGACACATTGATTTTTGCCTCGTGAAATTAGAGGTAGCAGACCTAGACAAGCCCACCCAGATTTCTGACCTCAGAACTGTGAGACAATCAAAGTTGTTTTTAAGCTACTATGTTTGTGGTGATTGTTATTCATCAATAGAAAACTAATACACTGACTTCTTCATCTTCTACCATTCTGCTTCCTTCATTCACTCACTTCAGCCACACTGGCCTCCTGGCTCTTCCTTGACAACACCAGGCACCCTCCCCCTGGAGGTCCTCAGCATTGGCTTTTCCTGCTGGTTGGAATGCTCTCCCAGATGACTAGTTTCCTCACTTCTTCAGTCTTCCTAAAATATCACTTTCTCAATGAATCCTACCCAATTCCTTCCCTGCCACAACCTATCCTTCTTATACTGCTCTGCTTTTTCATTTTCTCCAAAATATTTATTGCCTTCTAACAGACAATATAACAAACTTATTTATCGTACCTGTTGCTTGTTAGTGGTCTACCCCAATTAGAATGTAAGCCCATAAGGGCAGGGATATTTGTTTTACTTACAAACTTTCTGAACACCTGGAACATCCTCCAGCCTAGGAGAAGCTTACAAAGTACTTGTAGAATAAAATGAATTAACTCTATATCAAGTTACCTCTTAATGCATCATATTATAACATGATAAGCTGTGATATACATTTTACACCCCTCCTCATAATAACACTAAATATAGATATAAAACATCTCTATGTGAATGGAAATGTGATAGTAAATAATAAACTCTGTAGTCATTAGTATAAAAATATATTGGATGGTCCTTTGCCATTCTTATATCACTAGGGATAGGAAAATAGAAGAACTTTAATGACTGGCACTGAGATATTTGGAAAGGAGGTTGGGTGATACGAAAGGCACATTGGTCAAACCTAAGGCTTGCATAGTACATTTCTTAAAGCTACAGATACAGAAAATTGAACCAAATACCTTCTAAGATATCTTACAATCCTATATTCCATAATTATCCGGCCTCCCCACAAACTCAATGAACTGTTGGTTTAAGATTTGATCTCTCATCTTTTTATTGATGACCCTTAAATCTGCATTTGCAGCCCTCTCTGAGGACCCAAATCCCTATCATTTGTCTCCAAATGCTTCCAAACCTCTCCACGTGGATATTCCACTGTTACCTGAAACTGAACATGTCAGAATCATACTCAGCCTTGTGACCCTGGATTTCAATTCCTCCCCCATTTTGTGAGTTTTAGATGTTCTTCCAACCCCCCTTCAATGCCTGAGTCCCTCTCTAGACCCACTTTTTCTCCCTTAAAATTTTCTCTCTCATGTTGTCTTTTTCATTATCATTGCTCTTACTCTTGTTCAGGCTTCACTTCCTCAAACCTGAAATACTTGGTCAACATTCTAAATGATTTTCCTGGCTCCCATCATATCTGTGATTCTCTCTCCAACAATCCTATATGTCAGTGGTCCCCAACCTTTTTTGCACCAGGAACTGATGCTCCTAGAGAATCTAATGCCTGATGATCTGAGGTGGAGCTGAGGCGGTATGCGCTAGCGCTGGGGAGTGGCTGCAAATACAGATGAAGCTTTCTTTGCTCTCCTGCTGCTCACCTCCTGCTATGCGGCCCGGTTCCTAACAGGCCACAGACCAGTACTGATCCTTGGCCCAGGGGTTGGGAACGCCTGCTACATATGTCAATTGCTGAATCTTTCTAAAGTGGATTTTAATATTCTTAAGGCCTTAAAGTCTTCCAATGAGTCCCCACTGCCTACTGAGCACATTTTTATTAACACTCAAGCAAGCCGCAGGCTAGCTTGTAAGATCTATCATGGTCTGGTCTATTTAATCTAGTTTCTTGTCCCTCAATTTTTCTCCTTTTTTTTTTTTTTTTTTGATACATCCATCCTACCTAGTACTATTGTGGTGCTCAATAAAGAACAGATATTTTAAACAAAGTAAAAGTGGAAGCAAGGCTAGTTTAAGAAAATGTTTTGGAATTAAGGAAATGACTTTGCATGATATCTGATATCTTGACGTTTGTTATAGTGAGGAACTCAGTATCTTCCCTGAGAGTAGCACCTTTCTTAGTGTGTAAATATGCCTTTGGGAAGTGATTTTCATATATAGCGAATTGCTGGTATCATATATTCCAATGAAAGTTAAAGCAATCTGAATCTGAAATGGATCACCCTGTGAGCAGTGTTCTCTGCTTGTTTCTGCAGGGAGCCTCGCAAGGTGGTCCTGCATAAAGGGTCTACTGGCCTGGGCTTCAACATCGTGGGTGGAGAAGACGGAGAAGGTATTTTTGTATCCTTCATTCTGGCTGGTGGACCAGCGGACCTGAGTGGGGAGCTCCAGAGAGGAGACCAGATCCTATCTGTGAGTATCTCTCCTTCATTTTCATTCACTCCATGTCTGACACCATTTAAGTAAAAGTCACTTTTGGTTATGACCCCAAAAACAGCTTAATTACAAAGGAAAAATGATGAGAGCATTATGGCTTCGGGTGCACATTGCAGTTTAAATGGCGTTCAGGTGCTTGATGTTTATTATTTCTTCAGGAAAAGGTGCTAGTGTTCTCATTTAGATTTTCTGAGACCTATTTACATGCAGTAAAACATTGAGAAACATGATATGTTATATTACTTATTTTTTTTAGTGCAAATTTTTTCCCAAATCCATGATTCTATTCTAAAACCTGCACCTTTATACGACTATCTGAGAAAATACATAACATAATGCTATACACAATTTGGTAATGTTGATAAGTGGTGGCAGAATCGCCACTTACCTAAATGCAAGAATTACCAGGAACATGTTATTAAGCACTTATTATTTACCACGAATTTTATAAGTTATTTTTAATTCTTACAATTATTCCAAAAGGCACTGTCCCATGTCCAGATGAAGAGAATAAGGTTCAGAGAGGTTAAATAACTTGTCAGAGTTTACCTAACTAGAGAGAGTCAAAGCTGGGATTTATATATGCAGTTTAATGCCCATCACATCTTCCCCCGCTCCTTTCTCTCTTCCCTCCTCAATTTCCTCTCTCCCTCCTTTTCTTCTTCCTTTCCTTTCATCTTTTCTTTCTTTAGTTTCTTTCTTTTTCAAATATTTAGTGACTGCTTCTTTCCACTACATCAAGCTGAAGTCACTGTAACCTGGAATATTGACTCTAAAATTCTATCTAGAACATACTGACATCATCATATCATCCTGGCTCAAAATCTGTATACTGGCCATCCACTTTGTCATTTTATCACAGTCAACACTCACATTGTCTTAGCATTACTCCAGATATAAAGCATGCACTTTTTCCCCAGGTTAATGCATGCGCTTTCACATGCATTAATTTGGGGGATCTTAAAAGAAATTTTGAGTGTCAGGATAGGTTATTCTTACTTCCACTTTCCACATCAGGAGAAGGAAATTCAAAAAGGCTTAAGATTGTCCAAAGCTCCACAGCTACTGAATATGATATTGGACTCAAAATCATGTCTCCGGACCCCAGATCAGTGTTTTTTCTCCTCTCTTCAAAACCTGACTGTAGTCTCATTGAACATAATTCCCTGTGTGTACATCACAGGCAGGTGCACACAGAACTAGAGAGAGCTAATATTTATGTGGTATTTTGGTGTCAATCACTGTTACAATTAATTTAATCTTACAGCAACCCTATGCCTTATTATACTCATTTTAAGGATGAAGAAACTGAGATGCAGAAATGACATTAGACTTTTAAGTCTGTTTAAATGAGAAACCTGTTGGGCCATAGGTTTTATTTGTTTTAACCTCTATACATACGGTAGAGAAAGGGATGAGCTAATAATCTTCTTATGGCTCAACAAAGAAAACGCACAAGTATTTCTATTTTCAAAAAGAAATCTTTCCATTTAAATATTACTGCCAAGACGACATAGTAAATAAAGCAACCAATCAGAATTATATTCTTCTTAGCAATTACAATTCACAGAATATAACAACAATCTCTGAAGCTCAGATATTATATCTCTTTTTATGTAAAACATTTGCAAGGATAGTTCAATAATGAAACTATTATCTGCTTTTTGCAATTGAAAAGAAGGAGGGGACATTTCTCCTTTTTAGCTTGTTAAAATTTACTTAAACTGTGGCTAGAAAGTGACTAGTTTTGAGGTTCAGTACTGGAATTTCCTTGGTTAACAATGCAAGAAAAGAATAAACAGGCTATCCTCAGAGAAACTCAAACACTACAATATGGAAAGAAGAATGACAGAATAGAATTATTAACAGTAGAATATGGAAAAAATATGCTTCATCTATAGCTTGCACCTGGACAAGCTATACCTTCCTGGAAAACAAAAGAACAAAAACTAAATAATAATCAAGAGTTAAATAAAAATTCGATACATATTACTAGGTCATATAAGATTAATTTGCAAATAAGTCATGCTAACAGTAAACCCAGTAAGTTTAGAGAAGAGAAATGGAATCCCCAGGGAAAAGAACTAGAGAGTAGGTCTCTGTTCTCAACTGGCCTTTGTAGAGAAGAGACTTGTATAATAGACAAATACCTTTCTGATCAGGGACATAATGTTTATTCCTATTTTCTAGAATTATTCTCCCACATAGACTATAGAATCTTCCTAGATAATTTATTTTATTAATGACTTACTGTTTACCGGGTTGTATGCTAGGACTTGAAGTCTCAAAGATGAATGAGATAAATATCCTGTCCTCAAAATATTCACAGCCTAAAAGCAGATATATCAATATATCTAATATGTATGTAAGTGCATAGATATAAATGATATAGATATAGATAAAGACGGGAGAGAGAGAGAGAGAGAGATGATAGAGATGGTATAGAAAAAAAAGGAGACAAAACACAGAATAGAATATGTCATATTTTAAGTGTTCAATCAGTGCTGCTATTACTACTAACAACTCTGCATTAAAAATGTGTCTGATGTTTTTATTATGAGTATAATCATGTGTAAAGAGGCCCTCTGTTAGGTAGTTTGAGCCATTCCTTCTTCGACACAAGGCTTGGACTAGATCAACATTTCCCAAAGTGTTTTTCACAGGACACTGAAACAGCAGGGTTGTATTAAGTTGCTGCTGACAGAAAGGATCCCCTGGTACCAGGTTTTTGCACCAAAGAACTTCTCAAAACCATTTGTTTAGCAATGTTGCATTGGGAATTTCCTTAGAGGCAGATAAAGTATATGGTTTCTCCCAAACATATTTGACCACCAATCTTGTACATAAGGAGCACCTCACCATTAGTGGAAAAGACTTGAGTGGATATTTTTATAGTTCCTGTAATTGACTGTTTTCCTATAAGATAGTCATACTCGCCTATAAAGGCAACCAGCTATTCACTATGTTTTAAGATTATGAGTGCCATCTAGTGTTCATACATTGTCTGAACACATTGCATGGCCACCTGAAGATAGAGGATTAGATACACCTTTGTAGAGATTTATCCTCCACTTCCCTCTCCCAACAGAGCTACAGAACTAAAGTAGTTAAGATGCTGTAAGATAAAGAAATCATCACCTGAGGCTATATTCCATACTCGTATTGTGAGTGACTTTTTCTGTCTAAATTCTCCTTTATGTATTCTATTTCTCAGGCATTCTTTGTATAAAGTCTTAATCTAGTAACTGAACTGTCTTCTAGAGGTATTCATGGAGGAGAATTTAGGGTATTCAGCATGCAATCACATTAACTAGTGCAGTGGTCTCCTCGGGCATTCTTCCTGCAGAGGGAAAGATAGAAATGCTTCTGTTATTATTTGTTTCAATGCTTTCTTATGAAAAAAATGTGGAGCAGAGCACATAGAAGTAATACCCCCCCTAACGAGATTTTTTCCTAAGCAATTTTAGTTTGTTCATTCCTCAGGAGTCTTAAAAAAGATCACTCCAAGCTGACCTCACTAACTCCAAAGCTCACTCTTGATGAACTGGAAGTATTTAACTGTGTTCTAAGATATGTGGTTGGGAATATGTGTTGCCAGAAGTAAAATACTACAGCTGTTGAGGTGAAGGGATGATAAGTAATTGTGAATTGTTAAATGGAAATTGAAATTACATGTGGATTTAAAAGAGTAACAGCTCACCTGGGTGTTTGATTTATTCTCAGGGTACTTAGCTATCTTCATGTTTAGAGCCATGCAGAGAGAAGGACTTTATTTGTCAGATCCTTATTGTCAAGTTATTCAAAAAGAATTTAAGCATTGTGTACACTGTTCACCATCTGGCATACTGATAAAGTTACCCTTATATTGTTACCTCAAATGACGACCTTAAGTACCTTCTAGTGTTATGCCTGAAGTCCCCATACCCCTGAAAAAAAAGTCTCAAATTATTTTCGATTCCCTGAAGTGGCCCTCTTAAGAACTTACAAAACTCACCCAGTGACCATGCCATATGGGCCATGTCCTTCCTTTCTGGCTCTGGCCTCCGGCCCCACAGAGGACCCTTGTTTTCATAGTTTTCAGTGCTTGAGGGGTTCTTGCTCGGTGTTTCTGAAACCAAAACTCCCCAAGATACCAGAGAGGCTCTGAGGCCTGTGAGCAGGCAGGGACAAGAGCCATCTGTGCTGCTTTGCCACCTTTTTCCAAAAGCACAACAGCTTAAACAAGACGTCTCGCCTAAGCAGCATCTTTAGCTTTTTTCCTTTCATCCTCGACACCTGGAGCCACCCAAATTCCAGCCACACTGCTACCCTTCTCTCAGGAGTAAGCATCAGTCCCAGCTCTGGTCACCCATGACCAATCATGAGAGCACTTTTTTTTGGTTGAGCTCCACCCACTCCACCTCCCCACGAAGATCACCCCTCCTCCCCCAAAAAAGAAGAGCAACTGAACTCAGAGACCAGCACTCCCTTAAACTCAGGAGCATATATTTCCAAACTGCAATCAGGTTAAGGGTGATTTCACTGCTTCCCCCAAGAAAATATGTTGACCTGTCCCTCATATATAGCTTTGTAATCAAGGGCTTGTCTTATACATTTGCTCAAAGAAACAGTATTTGCTGAAGGGAATACTGAACATCTTTAGCTTGAAAGACATGAAACATGTAATTTTTGTGAATCCCCGCCCTGCCCCCTGCTCATTCTCATCAAGATTTCAGAAATTTTAGGGTCCTCTGTCAGCCAGGGTACCCTATTAAACAACTTGGAAGTGAAATAAATGTTTTTGAAAACACAAAGATCTGTGGCCCTAATTCTGACCAGTTAAATTCAGGCCCAGAAAACATGTGAGGGCTGCCTCCTCGAATCCATGTGCCTGTTCCAGGCACTGCTCTCTGTAGAACCCCACTCTCTGCAGAATCACTGACTCTTCAGTCTCTGGTTTTTGCTTCTCAATTGTGGAGCCCACTCAGACTTCCCAC